ACAATTTCATCATGTTTTGGAGCAACGTTCTTCAAGTGAAATAATTCCTTATGTCATGCAAAAAAATCCTACATTTATAGACAAAGACTCTGTTTCGAGATCTATAATTTAATAAAGATTATAAAATACAAATGGAAAATATGTCTGTGCTATATGTTACCACTTACATTACTGCTTTTATAATGCTTATTTTATTTTTAAATAAAACGCTTCTGCTATTTATTTCTCGATTCACTGTTTTATACAAACAAAAAATAAAAAAACCAACTGAAAACCATCAGAGCTTTCACTATATTATTTCGTCTTTTGTTATTAAAAGAGAAAACGTATTTATTTCTTCTTTTCCTATACAACTATCTTTTCAAAACTTCCGAATGGAGAAGAATAGTTCGAACAGCAGGATTCGGTAGCCACGTGTTCCTTAAAATCTTTCTAGTCAAGACGGGTGGCCTAGAAAGTCGTATATTTCTCCCGCCTAGATTCCTAACCGCGATCTGTCTTCAGCTTGTAACAGATAATAGTCTCAGCGTATATCAATAGACCCTACTTATGATGTCTTGCAAAATCTAGATTTCCAACAAATAAAATTTTACGTTAAAGATTAAAAATAACAGATTAATATTAAGTTTACTTATTTTTTATGACAATATGCAATTAACGGATTTGTTTAAAGTACGTTTTAAAGTATACATTGATCGGTTTGTATATATTTGAGACGAGAAGAACTTAAAGCACCAAATTTTTTTTATCTAACAAATAAGAATATAGTCCTTTATAAAAATCAGACAAATTTCGATTTTTAACTAAACGATCAAATAAAGAAATAACGATAAAAAGCAAATAATTACAATAATCTAATGTATAACAGTAATTTAATGACAACAATGTAGTATTAAATGTTATTTCCTAATAACGGTAATTCAATAACAGTTCACGGTAATGCGGAAGTAGGAATACCTAGAGTCGCTACAAAAAACGGTCCAATAAAAACGGTATAACGGTACAACATGGGACTTCCTAGGGCGAACTGTCCGCGAACGGAGTCACAGATAAATGACGACGGTGAGAATTGTCACCCGGAACGACCGGTTAACACATTGCCGCCCCTGTCATCGATCCGCACCATCCAATAATGGATTCTGTAGCCGAGATTTATGTAGCCCGCTGTCCAACCTTTTCTCGAGGCCCACCACTTTTGGGCCTCGTAATTTTTGACTCCGCTGAATGCTTCGCTACACAAAGCGATTTTTATTCGACAAACTGATTTGTCGCCTGCCTTTTTTATTTTTATTGTCGATTTATTATCAATTATTTATATTTATTTTATATTTATTATCAATTATTAATTATTATTATTATTTATTACTTTGTATATAAATGTATTTATCTATATATATAAATACTATAAGCATTTCTTTTTGACTCGTGCTTATATTGACTTCTCATTTTAATAATTCATACTTGGATTCATAACTATACCATTAACGTATAATATAAAATAAGCGTCACGAAATAATAATTTAACAGATACGAGGATGCGTGAAATATAAATGAGAAACTCATCGTGGAAGCAACAAATTCTTTACAACGCAACATCATGAACCTTGCAATTATTTGATAAAGCTTGTAATCGGGCCTTGTCATATTTTATGAAGCAATACCATCTTTATGAAGTGAGGCAAGGTCATGTGTGTCAGGTGGAACGCAAATTAATCCTCTGCAGTAGGGCTGCATAAGTTTCGAGCCGTAAACCAGTTCGCAGTGACGGAAATTAAAACCACTTTGTTATAATAAAGAAAGATGTCAAGTACATATCCAGAAATTTATAGATGTTTCTCTCATGCTCAGAAAAATAATTACAACTAAATTTTTATCCGATTTAGAAACGGTCGTTTCTGAATAAATTATATGTACTACGAGAAATAAAACTAAGTTAATAATAATAAACAATCTCGAAAGAAGATAAAGTCATCATAAAATCTTGCATTAAGTAGAACTGAATATCAAATAATTATCTTCACTTTATGCCTTCACATTCACATGATGACAATCATTTATTGCGGTGTTATGTAATATTCTGCATTAAAATCTTTTTTATATAACACGTATCTTTATGCGATATCTTTAGAGATAAGAACTACATCTAAATACTGCGGGGCAATCGGATTTACGAAATATTTAAAAATAAATGGAAGCATTTATTTTAGCGTCAGCCGGGCGTGACGCTAATTCGCTTAATTAAACTATTGCTTTATTTATTCGGGCCGACAGGCTGTCTCGTTAATAATATACTATCTCCCGCATCTCACGAATGAATGCTGATCGTCAGGCATCCCCGGCGGTGTCGTGCTTAATTCGATCATCGATCGCCAGGCATGAATTCCACACGCGTCCGCATTTAGCGTCTTACTTGAGAGAGAGAGAGAGAGAGAGAGAGAGAGAGAGAGAGCCCCCGACGATCCTGCATCAAATCACGATCGATAGGATTGACGGCAATCTCTAGATCACGAGAGAGAGAGGGGGGCAGAGAAAAGAAGAAGGCGAAAGCGGGAAACAAAATCGAAGGACTAACCGCGGCCCGTTGGCAGTGAGGCTTTAATTAAGGGAACATATTGCCACTAATATCCGACGGACAGTGTCAATCTGTCAAGCTACCATAAGACACCGATCTGATAGCGGGCTCTAGAAACCAGCACAGACTATTGGACACGCTGTCTTCGATTTGGTTGTCGTGGCCAATCATCCGAAATTAATATATCGGACGGCTAACGAACGAGCGAACCACGCGGACAGTTTCATCTTTCGTCGGATGCTTTTCGGGCTCAAATTTACCGCGTGGAGAAAGAATTTATGTGTGAGAGCCGATCGATCGATCGTCAACGGCACGATCGTAATCGAGAAGAAATTCGCACTTGTCTATCGATTCTCACAGTTCACGATAAACGCATCTATTGCGTGCTTACGCAAGACCGATGAAAACGATGTGCTTTGGTGGAAGTACACATTATCTCGATAAAATAAAATATAAAATCAGTAGAGTTTTACTGGTATTTTCTTGCGCTATATATGAAAGGTATATTAAAAAAATAAATACTTTTTAAATTCAAAATTAAAAAATAATACTTTTCTATAAAAGATATAATAACATACGATACTTTTCTGTGAAAAAATACTACAGTAAGTATATCTCTATCAAAGCGAAAAAATATTTGAAAAATAATCAATAAAAAATATAAAAATAAAATCTTTCTTAATATTTTGAAAAAATTACAGTATATAAAATTACTATTAATCAATATCATACAATATGATTGAAAATGGAAATAATTTGTTTTGAGAACAAGTATAATATAATTTATTATACCTATTTTCATTTTAAAATATTCTGTTAGAAATTATTTTTATTTAGAAAAATTCTTATATAAAATTTTGAAATTTTATAAAATATATCACAAAGCGCTATATTAAGGTCACACAAGTAAATAACATTCGACCAAGTTCTTTTAAACTTCTCTTTTTATCACGGTACACTAATCATCTCAGGTTTTTGGCGTAAATTGCTGATGAAGAAACAAGGAAGTCATAAAGAATCAATTTTTTAACGGATAATAATGACACAAACGCGGATATGACATGAGCGGTCTATAATAACATAATTCATGGAACTTCAATTTCTCAACATTCCGACCGGCTAAGTACCCTTGTTGGCATTATCATTATTATCATATTACTACACGCTACTATTTGCTGTGACACCTTGCAGTTTGATTTCATAGTCGTATACGTGTCGAAACAGTCCCAACATTAAAGAGAGTAGTCATTATCTTTTTTCTAGCCACCGAAGCGCTGTCTCTAGGATCTCCCATTAAGGCTAATTTAAAAATAATTACCACTCATTCGTTCGTAACGCATCCTAACTCGAAAAAAGTCATACGGTCTTAAACAGTAAGGTACAAAGGAAAACCATGCCCTCTCCAAGTTGTACAATAAAATAAAATTATATTGTAAAATGTTATAATAAGAAATATATGTTATACGAATAAACAATACCAACACATTTCTCTCTTTTTTTATATATCTTTAAAAATAAATCTAACTTAAACTGCATTCTTTTTTTATAAATTTAATTTCGTTCCAATAAACTTTATGTAAATATAATTTAAAACTACGTAGTGTAAAAGTGTAAAAAAATATAAAAAAAATAATATTTAATAATATAATATCATGTTTCATTCAAAATAATAGTCGATTATCCTAATTGAAAACATGAAAATACGAGAGCTATTGTTGTGCATTGTGTTTTACGATCGTTAATAGACTCGTATCGGTATAGAGTGGTCAACGTCATGCTCCACACGCGGAGAGGGGCCCCTTAAAAAGGCCCCGCACGTAGAAAGGTCCTTAAAGATCCTAAAGGGGTAGCCCATTCTGGAGGTGTGCCGATCGGGCACCGGCATTTAATCGTAACGAATCGCCCTCGGGCCCTGTAGGGGAGTGTGTAATCGACATCCGGTTCGCCTAATGTCGAACGAGTAGCGCCCTGTAATCTGCCGCTAGCGTATGCATTGTCGTGGGCTTGGGACCCCTTCTCGCTTCTGAAAGGGGCACCGTAGGACCGGAGATCCCTTTTTCGGTGCGAGAGGACGAAACCGGGGCCCCGGAATAACGTTTGCTCGACCTTGCGCCCATGACTCGCGAATAATGCGACCGGATTCACGAATTTACGGGATCGAGTGTCCGACGTGCGCAAAAGGCTGCGGCGAGTTCGGATCTTTAAATGTCCTTCGTTTATTATAAAATATAAAGAAATTAATTCTTCCACAATTTAAATTCATTTAAATATTGAAAAAAAGCTATTAAAGATATATGTAATCTATTATGTTAAATATACGTATCGATGGAAACTAAAAATAATAAAAATTATTTAATCCCGATCGCCAACGACGCCAACTATCTCTGAAATTAATTGTCGTCGATTTGTGCATCTCGATGAAGCTTACCGCGGAGCAGAATCTTCTTGAGAGACCTCCTGACAGTCGTACAGTTCCACCTTCGATTTCGGAATTGGTACTGACATTCCCTAGTGCCTACTTGAACACCCTTTGCAATTTCTTTCAGTAGAGACGGCTCCTTACGACAAATGTCGGCTAGCTTCCCTTTCAGCCGTCTTGTTTTCTTGCAGACAAGCATCGGATCCATCACCAGCTGGCTTCCTACAGTCCTGTAGAATCAAAAATTGAAATACGTGGTTAAATATATCACACGTATAATATTAAATCTATCCAATAGCTTTGTTAACTAAGAATTACCAATAAAATAAGGTCGTTATAAATATATAAGTACCTATGTGCATTTTTTGCATCTGTTCAAATTTGACAATTTGTTACGATAACGTTAGGTAAATATTGACATAAATAAAGAGTTCAAATATAATATGCGATAATTCTTGAACGACATAAAAAATATAGCAATTTAAACGTGAGAAGTTTGCGGCGTCTAATTAACCTATCTGCGCTCAATACTCAAGGCAACGATATAATCACGCGAACCGCGAGGAACTCGGAGCGCAACGTCATTGCTCTCGAGAGACACGACACGCGCTAGAGAGGAGAACGGTCAGAATAATTTACGGAAGCTACAAATCCCGCGGCCAAGTTGCCGGTTATTTAGCTACGCAATATCTTTCCGCGCGCGAGCGCGCGCGAGTGCAATGTGGAAAAAGGAACGGTCTTCGCGTGAACGTGAGATTAAGCGGAAGCTCTCCTTTCTCCTGACGCTTATCCGTTCCTTCTAGAGCCCGCGTAGAATCTCGGTAGCTCGACGAGCACGACTGTTGTGTCTCGGCCGCAGCCCTGATCCTCGCGATTAATCGCTCGTGTTTGGATCAGAATTTATTTCTCCTTAAGCACACCGTCGTGCCTCATAAATCAGTTGGGAGCTTCGCTATTTACAGAGAATTTGGATTTACCCCATTAGCATCGCCTGAACACGAGAGATTTGTCATTCTCAACGAATTTTTTTAATATCACCAATTTTTTGTTTTTTTTTCCAAGTAAATAATTAGATCGCGTTCTGTAACGAATTTATCGCACTGTTATATAATTCGTATACAGAAACTTAGCGCTTTTTTCCTTGTTAATTTATCGCACTGTTATATAACAGTGCGGTAAGTTAACAAGGAAAAAAGCGCTAAATTTCTGTATATAATACGTTTTATTCGATTGCGGCTGCTGAAGCGGCGGTGCTAGCTTGATACACGTAATTTACTAACGACGAGTGAATTATAGTAATTGTATTGACACCGTGCAATTGCGGTCGACACAACGTGAAATTATTATGCCAATGAAAGTTACTGTCTCCCGGTTTCTTCTCTTTTCCTCTTTCTTCTGTACTCCTAATGTATATTAAATATATCTGACTAATTCACAAGCAGTGGTACGTGAAACTTTAATTATAGTAGATCAAATCAAATGATCAAATGATATGGAACGACGAGAAGTGACAAAAGAATAAGCTATAGGATAGTGATTGTAATACGTGGAACTTCGTAAGAGACAGGAAAATGAAACTTGCGATACCGCGAGAATAACGACGGAAAAAAACCGTCGAAGAAGGCGAGAAAGAAGGATAAGTACATTGCGAATAGTAGGTACGACAGTCGAATCTGAGCACGCTAACGCCATTACGATAATTAAAGCTCCGACGCATTAAACTCGTGACGACGTAACCAATTCTACGAATGAAAAAGGAAAATATATATAGAGAGAGAAAAAGAGAAGAAACGAATGTTATGGAGGGGAAAGAAGGACGCTATAGAAACGGAAAGAACGAGCGAGTACATCGAGAGGGTGTAAAGAGAAAGGAGTGAGAAAGAGCGGAGAGGGGACAGCTTGATGATTGCACTGGGGGTAGAAAAAAAAAGAAGGAATAAAGCGAAATGGATTCTGAGCGGTGAACTACGAGCGGTGGGAACTACGAAGTCGAGGAGAACGACTCGGAGGCAGATGGGTACCAGAAGAAGGACGAAGAGAGAAGGAGGACGAGGAGAAAGAAGCGCGCAGACCCGCGTGCGGAGGGCACGAAAGCGGAAAGGTAAAAAGAGAAACGATGGGGGCGCAGGAAGGGTTAGAAGGAGGGAAGAGGAAGAAATGGAGAAGAAGAAGAAGAAAGAGGGACAGTCCGGGCGACCTTCGTTACGAAACGTTAATTAAGATCATTAGTTCTGCGTCGGTAGGATGCCGGGGCGCGTACACGACGGCCTCTCGGGAATGCAACGACCTTAATGGCAATAATTCCGTTAAGGACGGTTGCTCGCGCGCCCGTTCCCAATGTGCCTCCTCGCCCGCCTTCCCCGCCCCCCCTCCCATTCGCCCGCTTTTCGTTCTGCACGAACGGGAATAAGAAGGTAGTACGACATGGAGGAGTCGTGCACGAGAGTGACATCGTCATTTGGGCGAGGAGGATTCCACCTCGAGTGGCGACTATAACCGAGAACGACGACGATGACGACGAGAACGAAGATGATACGCGAGATGATACGCGGGATACGAGAATTCACGAGAAATCGAGGATCGAGAATGATCGAGGAATGATTTTGCGCGTAAGAGTGAAACAGAGAGATGGAAAGAGATATGGGCGAGGTAGAGGAAGAAGAGGGGGGGAAGGAGAGCAGAGCGTGGTTCTCGATGGAGCAAAATATGGCACATGTAACGTCTCGCGGGACGATCAGGCCCACTGACAGAGTACAAGCTGCAGGAACTTCGATTCGTCGATATTCCTGTTAAGGACTTTAGTCCCGATAGAGTCTGACGGACGACAAGCGCCAAAGCTTTTTCAATCTGTTACGAGGGTTCTCCAGAGGAGACCGTATCCTGCCTTCGTAAACGAAAACGTTCACATAAAACATATTGCATTATCGGATCAAGCAGGATGTTCTCAACAAAGAGTATCCCTCGATTCACCAAATATCACTACTAACACATGTCTTATATCTTTGTTAAAGTTCCCTATATTTTCCTTCCATCGACAACCCTAATTCTTTATTATACGATCTCAAATGATTTTTTCCTGATCGATTTTCCCCCCTTATATCGCTCGGAGAGAGGAAAGTTGGAAAACGTGATCTTTTACGCATGTTTCCTAGTTATCTTAGATCGCGACCAGCTGTCAGAGGCTGCGAAATCTTCCTAGAATTAACGCATGTACTATTTCTCGACTCGGCATCAATCTACACTGAGAATGCAACTAAACCTAGGCGTAAGATAATAGACGAGCGACATAAATATAGCGATTCCGAGAAGTTGCAAGTGCGCGAAACTACGAGAAGTTAAACATTGTATTAAGCCGTGGTGCTATTGCGGTAGCGCAAAAGTCTTATGACGTGTGAATTTTATGGGAGAGTTGGAAATGGATATGTCCGTTGGTAGTAAACATTTACACGCAGCTTTTATACACGGCTTATTCAAATAAATTTGCAGATCACCATGTTTTATGCAAATCCCGAAAAATGTGCTGCGCGTTTTATTTCTAGTTGTATAATATACCTATATAGATAACTTCCTATCATAAATACAAAAAGTTAAATCTATGACTTATCGAAATAATATTCGCATTCAGATATTTTATACTACGCGGTCATAAACTACGTTACCGCGAATTTTATAGTCGCGCTATTACGATACCAATTAATCACGAAATTTCTCCCGGAATAATCCAAACAATTTAATAATAGTACCCAACAAATTGAAAATTAAAACGTACAACAATCACGTTAAAATAACATTCGGCGCACTTCGCTAATTTATCACGACGACGCGACCGACGGCTCGGTCTATTCTCATTGCGTCTGTGATTCACATTGGTAGCCTCCATCGGAAAAGCGTCACATATGCCGCGGATAGAGGCGAAGGCAACCTTCTAACCGGAGGTTTATCCGACCTTTTGACTTCAAAGACCCGGTTTCCCAGTGGCCGCGCGCATCTCACCCCGTTAGTCAAATAAACGGACCGCAGGACCGCTGCGCATCGATACTAAAAGTCCAATCCCCCGGAGGCGGATAATAAAGTTACGGCGTTATTGCAAACACGTCGCGTTTGACGAGCGCCGCTTACGCTGAATGTTTTGCACCCGCGCCTCTATTAATATCGCTGGAAGGCGAGTTAATGGGAATTGAAGTGGTCAGGCACTACGTTGCCATTCGTCTTCCGTCCTGCCGATCGCGCGATTTCGTAACTTTCCACGAACTAACATTTGCCAGTTTTATTCGCTTCACTCGAAAAATGAAAAATAAGTTCAAAAAATTAAAACCAACAAGAGACATGAAATAAAAATAAAGGTAAAAAAGTAAATAAAAATGAAGCAACAGCTGTACGTTATATCCTTCAATTAAACGACAAATAAATCAATTAAATATTTCATTTTTTTAATATCAGTGCACTACACAAGTAGGTATAATATAATTATGAGGATACATTTCGCAACACACTGGCGTAACACAACATCATAAAATAATGATCGCATTTGCGTATCGCTGACTAATCTATCGTTCCTTAAATTAACAAAATTCAACATATCGAATTTATATGCGTAACGAGCTTTAACAGTCCCGTCACTCGCTTGTACTCCTTTTCTTGCGAGGCAGAGCCCTCGCAAAAAGGCATCCCGAGATCCGCTACTAGACGAAAAAACGAGGGAAGACTCGGTTTAATCGACGACAATCGAGCCAGCGGAACGCTCGAGGGGGAGATGAGGGGGAAGAAGGGGATCCTGGCTAGAATCGAAGAGATCGGGCCCCACCTCGTGTACGCGGAGGCAAGAAAAGAACTCGAAGATGGACACGTCGTCGCGAACGAAAAGCGTGGAGAGGCCGGTTAGGGCGGTCGACTTATTTATTGCCTCATTAGACGCCCTCACTTTGCTCGAAGGCAGCTCCACGCTGTCTGCTCAGATAGACAGTGACGAGAGAGCAACGTTGCTGGCTTCTTTCGGCCGGTTTGCAGAACGAGCGACGAACGGAGGGACGGGGGGGAGAAATAAGGGGGTTTCGCGAGAGAGAAAGAGAGAAACGTTTTCGTAGAGAGCAGATTGGAGGAAGAAGAGAGATCGCTTCAACGAGAGAGTTCGCGAAAAGAAGCAAGAAAAGAGAGAAGAAGGAGAAAACGAGTTGATAGGCCCACCTGCGAATTCCTCGAATACTTTGCACAGTTCGAATGAAAGTATATG